GGGGGGGGGGGGGGGGGGGGGGGGGGGGGGGGGGAGGGAAAGGGGAGGCGGCAGTGGGGAAGAGACAGAAATCTTTAATAAATAAATTAATTAATTAAAAAAAAAACTTCTCACTGGGGCTGGAGAGATGACTCAGGGGTTAGGACCTAAGTTAAATTCCCAGCAGCTACAGGGCAGCTCACAACATCTTCACTCTAGTTCCAGGGGATCCAATACCCTCTTCAGGCCTCTGCTCACACTGCACACATGTAGTGCACAGACACATACCCACACACATAAAGTAATAAAGTTAAAAAGAAAACTTCTGGTACTGTCAGTATTTTCTCACCATTTTAATTCTAAGTGTGTCAGTATTTCTGAATTTTCTATGAGTTTTTGCATTAGATTGTTAATTATTTATTGGCCTTAATTTTCAAGTGGGTTTTTTTTTTCAGGTAAAATGGAAAAAATCAGATGTAAAATTTGAAGATCGATTCGACAAATATCTTGATCCATCCTTTTTTCAACATAGGGTAGGTGTTTGTACTTTAAGATAGAGCTTTGTGTGCAAATCAGTTCCACATTGAGCATCTGCCTATGTGGATCATTATGCTAAGGACTGTGGATTTCAAGAAATAACTGCTGGTGATTTCAGATGTAAATTTAGAGGAAAAATAAAAATAGCTGGCGTGATACTGTAGTCTAAACCAGTTAAGAGATAGACAGGGAAAAGCACAGTATGTGGAAGCCAGATATAGCACTTTAATTGCAATGATGTTGATATTGGAAAAGTGGTTCATACCATACATGGTCAGATGGGTGTCTTAGTACTGAAACTCAGAATTAGACAGCCCTTACCTGTTGATGGTGAACTATTATTGGCAGACTTCCCTACATGGGCACCTGTGGAGAGCAGCAGCAGAAAGGAGGGATGAGAGAACAGTGCAGGTTTTTCCAGTAGAAACCCTTCCAAATGGATCATCAAGAAAGGGAATAAATGCTTCCCATAGTCCTCATTCTGCATCCAGACATTGAGTTGCCTGAGGCATCTAGGTCGGGGTTTGGCTGGAACTCAAGCTCAGTTCAAGGCAGTACAGTTGGTAGTGTCACTTGTCTCCAGTTATGGTCTAGAAATTTAGCAGTAAACAGGTGACACTTAGGATTAGCAACACTAGGGGGCACTGGAGTGCAGCCGTTGGTAGAGTCAGTAATCGCCAATATCTGTTTGCTTTATTAGTTTATACTTTATTAGTTTATAATCATAGCCAAAAGGCTTATCAGTGATGCTTTATTATTTTAATAACTATTTCCCAGTATAAATGTCTCAAGAGTATACCACATGGTATAGTTTTTAGAGTAGTGCCAAAGGAATGTTAGAGGTTTCAGATTGTTGACGGTGTATTAATGTAGGATTGGTTTAAAGTTTATACCTTAGGTTGTATTTTTTAGATTAAAAAATACCAGAGAACCTCATTAGAGACTTTAATACTTTAAAATTTTAAATTTATATTTTAAACTGATACATAAAACACGCAAGTTATATGTTTATGAGGTAACATCTGATGCATATATATGTATGTATAAAATGACTGTTTAAGCCAAATTAAACATCTCCTCAAATTCAAATATTTATCATTTCTTCATTATGGAAACATAAGGGGCCATTGAGATGGTTTAGTAGGTCAAATCTATTGACCTGCATTCAGTCCCTGGGGTCCACATGGTAGAAGAAGAGAACTGACCACACACTAGATAAACAAATAAATGTAATAAAAATTTTTTAATAAGAACATTCAAAATCACTTTTGAAATGTATTGTACATTGTCATCTATCTACAAAAGAAGATACCTATAAAAGATACCTTGTACATGATTTCACATAAATACCTACAATACCTACAAAAGAACACCTTGTGTGCAGATAACACACCAGAACATTGCATCCTTCCCACCTTCTTGGTGACTTTGACCCAACCTGTCCCCTCCTCTTGTTGTCTTCAGCCTCTTGGTACCTGTTGTTTGCTGTCAGCTTCAGTGAGAGCACTTGTGTATCCCACATACAAATGAGATAATGTGGTTCTTGTCTTTCTCTGCTTTATTTTATGCAATAATTTTTAGCTCCATTCATGTGGGAAATTTTAACATTTAAGGCATACCTTTCTTATTACTAACTGTATATAAAATTTTTCTCTTTGCAACCTTGGATAGTTGGCTAAAGATTTGTGTCATATTTTCCCCCTTCTATTGACCCTTTCGGGGTTAATTTCTTAAGTGGAAACAAAAATCCCATCTTTGGAGACATCTGCCATTTCATTTTAAACTGCTTTTTGAAATCCTTGGTGATGCCTTTATGACGCTTTAACATGGCATATGGGGGACAAACATTTCAGGGTGTAGTGTATTAATTGTTCATTTATAATTCGAATGGGTGCTCAGTGAGTAAGTTGTTGGAGGGGAAGCCACAGAGTCCCAGTGTGAGTAGCAGAATCAAAATTGCCCTTCCCATTCATGCCCTTCCTTAGTATATTAGCCTGAGTAAAAATCTACCCTCCTTGTGTAAGCCAATACAGCTTTGTGTTAAGCTTTCCTGGGACTCATGGAGCTCTGAGCAAAATTCCTATGAATAACTGCAGTCTGCAAGTGAAAGGCTCTGTGGTGCAGAGGGCCCTGTCTGACTTGGACCTTGAAGACTAGGGAGGATTTACAAAGGAATATAAACCACATGTGAGAAGACAGTGTATGGAGAATAGGATGAAAGTCAGTGTGCTGTGCTTGGTCACTGAGTGGGGATGGAACTTTAAGGAAGGCAGGCATTGAAGATGTGGAAAGCCATGGACATGAGGAAATTGAGCCCTGTAAGTTTTAGAACAGTAGTGATAGTGAACATTACATTGTAGAAAGATTTGCTTGAGAACCTTGTACAGCATACATTGGAAAGAAGGAGAGAGATTAAACAGCAACAAAAGGCTAAGCAGAAATGGTCTTGTTAAATTGTGAGATGATACCATGGGAATGCAGAGGAAGGGATACATTTTGAAGGAAAACAGAAGTTTAATAATTAGGGCTGGAGAGATGGCTCAGAAATTAAGAACACTTACTACTTTTGCAGAGCACATGACTTCAGTTTCCAGTATCCATGTCTGACAGTTCACAACTGCCTGTTACTCCAGCTCCGGAGGATTTCTCTTCTGGCTTCTGCAGGCACCCATATATGTATGCGCATACCCATACACTGCTACAGATACACAATTAAAACTAAAATCTTCTTTTAAGTTTAATAACTATTACTTATGAAGAATTAAGGCAGGTGCAAACATAGTTCTAAATTTTCAAAGCTAAATATTAGTTCCATTAATAGCAGCTAGAGAATAAGAAATAAGTGGGGTATGTTGAGGGAAGATTATGGATTTCCTAAGGGTAGTCCCAACCTGGAATTCCACAAAGACATTTAAGTGGAAGTGATGGTAGTTAGTGAAAGTGTTTGAAGGCTGGAGATTTGAGCAGGTGAGGGCTGAAGGTGTTGCCAACATTATCATCAGAAAGCTGGTTAAACGTTTGTGAGCCTAGAGTCATGGTTGATTGCCAAGACCTGGAGCCTTTGGAAAAGTTGGCCAAGGGTGACTAGAGTGAACAGGTGAAAAATAAGCGGCAGTTAGTGCGTTGGAATGGTAGAGTGTCAGCAGAGGGCAGAATTGGCAGAGAGATAAATCAGTGTAGAAGTTCATTGCAGTGGCCAGTGAGCTGGCTCAGTGGTAAAAGTGACTTCAGCTCAATCTCTGGAGCCCACACGGAATGTGAGAACTTTCACATGTTGTCCTCTGACCTGTACACACATAGATACAAAATTAATAAATGTAAAAAAAATCAGAAATTCATTGCAGGTCTTGGGAGGTGGATCAAATTGTGAAGAGGTGAGGGAAGAAATGTGTCCTGTTTGGAAAGTGTTGGTTAGGTTTGGACAAGAATGAGGTATGCACTGTAAAAGATGAGGAGTCCCGGCACAGTTTGTGATGTGCTGCACACTACTCTGCTTTCCTGTTACTGTGTAAACCTTGTAGTGAGTCCAGGAATGGAAATGGAAACAAATTACAGATGTTTTTGTACAAATTTTCAGTTGTACTTTTTTGATAAATAGTACCTTTTTTGGGAAGTTTCCAAAATAAGCATTCATTGTTTTATTTATAATTCTAGTAGGCGCTCAATAGGTAAGTTAGTGGAGGAAGGAGAGAAGGAAGGAAGGAAGGCTGGTTCTTGTGTGAGGCAGAGGCAGTTGGCCATCTGCTCTTCAGGAAGAGCCATAGAGTTGTCCTGTCCCTGAAGCTCAGGGAGGGTTACAGAGCCGAGACTGTTCTTCACCTTGGTGCACATCCTTATCACATTGGCCTGAGTGAAAGCTGTCGTCATTGTACAGGGAGATTGCTGATGCTGGAAGAAGGCAGTGGTGCTGCGGGGTGGGGTGGGGGGCACAAGCAGAGAAACGCCTTAGTGGGAGTGAGATCTATTGCCCAGTGGGAACAGTATAAATGGAGCAACACACATCTAGGAGGATACACCTTGGAAGGTTGTTTTATACTGGATGCTAGATAACAAGAGAAAACATGGCATTGGAAACTTGAAGAGGAGAAAAAATGCAGAAATACACATAAGGACCTTTGGGAGGGTAAAATAGAAATAACAGAGTAAGTTTGCAGATCTACAGACTTAATTCAGGTCAGATGTACTGAGTTCTAAGATGTCTTTGGCGATAAAGTAGTTCTTTGTTACTATAGGCCATACTCTGGACATGTTTTTGTGACAAATGTACAAATGATGTCAAAGGCAAGAGCCTTGAGAACATTGAGGAGTTAAGGAACACTTACTGTTCTGGAAGACTGGGGAGAGAGCTGAGTGTGAGGGTGATCGGGCGGGACTAACTGGAAGCAGGTGAAGCAGATCCTCAGGAAGGAAGGAAGCCTGTGTCAATAGTAATGGCAGTGATGGTGGGGGCAGCGGCCTTGTAGGCCTTGTAAGATTTTCGGGTTTTGGTCAGTTAGGAGACGAGCGCACACATTACCTGCTGTCCTGCCAGCACGTGCTGTCCCGTACATCCATCACCGCTACACCGCACAGAGCACAGTTTGCAGGACTTAAGTTAAAGCCTTCATTGCCCATGTGCTTTCCATGTAAAGTTGATTTGTATATGCTTAATGGCTAAATAATAGTTAAGTGGTTTAGTAAGTGTGACTTGAAAAGTCTGTGAAGATGATAGCATGCTTCATGGAAGTTGGTTGTAAGGAAGGCTAGCACTTTGTCATGCTGAACACCTACCCAATTGTCTCTGAAGTTTAGTTTTTTTTTTATAAAAGATAAAAGAATGCTGTTTTTTCTCCCATTAACATACAGTTGACATGAAACATGAATTTTTTAACTGATATTTCACACTGGCAACACTTTATTTTTTTTATTTTAGATTCACTGGTTTTCAATTTTCAATTCCTTCATGATGGTGATCTTCTTAGTGGGTTTAGTTTCAATGATTTTAATGAGAACTTTAAGAAAAGATTATGCCCGATACAGTAAAGAAGAAGAAATGGATGACATGGTGAGTAAACATTCTGTTTTATAGTTAATGACAGCTATTTTTCATATTACTAAATTTATTTTATTTTAGGTGTGTGTGTGTGTGTGTGTGTGTGTGTGTGTGTGTGTGTGTGTGTGTTATATTGGTGTTTGGACAGGTTAGAGGTATTGGATTCCCCCTGAAGCTGGAGTTTCAGGTGTTTGTAGGCCACCTGATGTGGACACTGGGAATTGAACCTGGGTCCTCTTGAAGAGCAGTGTGCTTTTAACTGCTGAGCCATTTCTCCAGACTGTTTATTATAGTTATTAAAGTTAAAAAATGATTTGTTAGTATCGTCTATGTGTATGGTGTCTGTGGGCATGCATGCTAGGAACATGTATGATGAGGTCAGAGGACAACTTGATGGAGTCAGTTCTCTCCTACCACCTTTACCTGAGTTCCAGGGGTTGAACTTAGGTGGCCAGACTTTACCTGCTGAGCCATCTCTCCAGCCAGCTGTTGTATTTCCAATGCTGGTATATAGTTTACAATTTCTAATCTAGGTTAGTAAGGGCAGGTGTATAAAACCAGGTGCAATAGCAGATGTCTGTAGTTCCAGATATCCACGAGACTGAGGCAAGAGGATTGCTTGAGCCCAGGAGATTGAGCCAAGTTTTACTTTTCTGGGGTTGTGGCTCAGTGGGAAAGTTCTTGCCTAGTGTTGGGTTTAATCCTAGCATTGCAAAGTTTAAAAACAACAATAATAATAATGTTCTCTGAGAGATCTAGAGTCATGCTCTATTCAAATAGTTTTTTTTTCCTCTTTCAGTAGGACTTAAATGTTCCCCTAAGCAAGACAAATAAACTTGTGTTCTCCAGCCAGATTTTTGTCACCAAATAAGTGTGGTGCCATATATCATACTTAGGAAACAAACTTTAGTTTACAGATTATAGCTTCTGATTTCAGAATCACTTAGGGAGATGTAGGCTAGTTTTGATATATTTTTTTAAAAATATTGTTAAGTGTTGAATTAAGGGGTGGGTGGAAGGATTAACATACATTAAGTTTAATGATTTGAAAGAGATTTATCCTTAATTTTTTTTTATTAATTTATGGACAGTAGTGTGTTCCATAGAATACTAATACCTAGGTGAACTTAATTAAATAGGTTTGAGAAGCAGTTTAAAATATCAAATTTTAACATCCTAAGCATATTATTATAATGGTAAAAAATTCCTTTTATTTTCCTTAAGAAATTTTGTGTCAGTAATTATTTAAGGATCTTTGGGTGTTATTTAGGCTGAATGTAAATAAAGATTTTATTTTTAAAGCTATAGATGACTAAATATCCATATCAATATTCACATTGGGGTATAAAGAGCATTTCTGTTTTTAGGGCAAGTACTGGTATAAGTATACTTCTCTTTTCTTGTCTGCTTGGCCATTGATGGTGGTGAACCTGAGTCACTGTGTGAGTGGAAGACTAGGGCCTGAGAGTAAAGCAGTACTAGGAGAGACCCTGACTCTTCCAAGTTGTTTATTTTGTTCCCCAGCCTTTTTTCTCACCCACTTTTACCTTCATGAATCTCAATACAGTAAACATAACATTCTGAGTTATAGGAGAGGAGTTACTTTCACTTTGAAATGTAAATGTCTGTCTTCTGTAAATGAAGACTGTGTGTTGGTTTCCCAGCTGTCCAGACCCGAATAATCACACAGAAACTATGTTAATTACAACACTGTTTGGCCTATTAGCTCAGGCTTCTTATTGGCTAGCTATTATATCTTAAACTAAGTTATTTCTTTTATTCTGTGTATCACCATGAGACTGTGTCCTACCAGTAAGGTTCTGGTGTCTTTCTCCTTCAGCAGCTACATGGTATCTCTTTTACTCCACCTATTCTCTCTGTATAGCTCTGTTCAGATTTCCCACCTGGCTATATTGTGCCCTGCCATAGGCCAAAAAAGCTTCTTTATTAACCAATAGTGATAAAATGTATTCACAGCATACACATTAGTCCTCAGTATTTTGAACTCTTAGAAAGATGTAAGTGTGGAAGAAGGGAGCTTACAACTAACTGTATTTCTTTCCTATCTACTGTATTTCAATTTGATTCTGAATGGGTTGATTTTTTATACATATTTCTATGTCTTACATACAGGACAGAGACCTAGGAGATGAATATGGATGGAAGCAGGTGCATGGAGATGTGTTTAGACCATCAAGTCACCCTCTGATATTTTCTTCTCTCATTGGTTCTGGATGTCAGATATTTGCTGTGTCTCTCATTGTTATTATTGTTGCCATGATAGAAGATTTATATACAGAGTAAGTGCTTGTACTTTATCACTTTTTGTTGTTGTAAATAATGTTTTTAGTCATTGTAATCTATTAAGTCAATCATTATTAAATAATTGCTTATTTTAGTAATACCGTCCATACTATTATTGCAGACAGATCTTAACCTTTAACTCTTAAGTATTTTGAGTTTCCCTATACATGCTTAAACTTTCCAGCATTGCTGACCATTCCAAGTTATACTGGTTATGTCCTTAGAGAGACAGAGCTACTTTCAGTCCAAAGCTGTTTGAAAATGGAAACAGGCACTTTTTTTAGATTCAGCTGGATCTTTATAATTTCAGTCACCAAATTAGTACTTCACATTTATACTCAGACAAGAGTAAAACAAAGCACTTTACAGTATTGTTTTATTTTTTAGAGTCCTAAGTCAGTATGCTGTTTTGGGTATATTTTTTATTAGCAAAGCCATTTGCCAACATTTCTTAAATCATTTTGTTTGTTTGTATATGTGTGTTTGTGTGCTCAAGTGTGTGTGTGTGTGTGTGTGTGTGTGTAGGCATGTGCATGTCTCAGCACAAATGTGGAGGTCAGAGGACTCTTTTAGGAGTTCTTTCTCCGCTCCCACCATGTGTTCCCAGGCTTGAACTTAGACTGTTAGGCTTGGCAGCAAGCACCTTTACCATTTACCTTTGCATTGACCTTTACCTGCTGAGCAAGCTCAGGCCTCTGTTGAGTGTGGTCCTGTCACCTTGTTGTCAGAGAACCCCAGCATGTACAGACAAATGCACTGGGGTGTCTGGGTATATTCATTATAATCCAGGCATCAGACAGGAGCCTGTGAATTCCTCAGTCAGAATGACTCGTTACATTTCATTTCATAGTACATTCTTTCTTATATGTGTATAGCATTTCATGGCCAAAAATAAATTTGTGCTGCTGAAAGAATGGCTTTTTAGTTGTGAACATAAAATAGCTGTAAACACCCCTGATGGCCTTAGTTTGCTTTCACTGTGGAAGGAGAGGGCTGACTTGAGAAAGTTGCTGTCTGTCTTCCAAACACATGTTATAATGTGCATGTTCACACTCAGGCACAGATCACACGTACACAATAATAATAAAAATCGTTTTTAATTTAACCGTATACTAAATTTCTGTTCCTCTGCTGCATAGTTCCTTGAGAAAAGGAAACAGAGGCAGTTGGATCTCTGAGTTCAAGGCAAGCCTAGTCTATTGAGCTTTAATAGGTGGTGTTAAGGACAGGCCATTCAACATTCTGCCTGTTATTATGAAAAGTAGGTGTTGTGTTTACTCAGTGTGTATGTAGTTATTTAAAAGTGGCAAAGCTATCAGGATTGTTATGATGGAGAAGTCAGGGTCCCATGTTTTTACTGTGTGCACATTTGCACCTTCAGTGTGTGCATCAACCCTGTATGTTACATGTCTGTCCTACGGGTAGGAAAGTAGAGCTCAGAGAGGTGAAGGGCTTTGACTGAATTACACACTGCTACTAAAGGGTGATAAACTGGTTTTGATCGAATTTCAGAGTTTTTAATTTGCATGTTATGGCAGTGAAAATGGTGGCATAGCCAGTGAAATGGTGAGAAGAGAGAGCGGCACATCTGCATGTGGGGTTGGTGTGAGCCGCTCCAGTGACGTGACGCTCTTCAGAATGAGGAGCAGCTAATGTAAGGGGGAAGATTACTTTGCCTGTGTGGTCACTGACAATCAAAGGAGAAACATTTGGAAGGTGTAGGTGGAAGAACGGTGGCACCATGGTGCCAGTTGATGTGCGGTGCCAGCTCTGTAGAGCCTGCTCATCCTACTTCCTGTGCTGTCTCAGTGGGGATGGTAAGGCAGCTCTTCAGCCTCCTTCCTGTCTTGAGAATGGCTGTCACTGTGGACTCCTCATTGTAAATGAAAGTGGCTTGTCGGAGGATGGGGGTAAATGTTTGTATTTTTAAACAAAGAAACAAAAGATAGCTCTGAATGCTAAAACTATCCTAAGTGGAGACTGCAGACGTAACCTGGAAAGTCATTTTATACTCTGGGCCAGTTTTTTGAGCACCTTCTGTTGATACTGCCTAGTGTTAGGTTCATCTTACACTAAAACCAGCTCTTTCTATTTTCTTTGTAGTTAGAGCTATATCTGTAGACAAATACATTTATAAAGAGAATGGGTCATATTTGTTAATCTTTGTGCGGAAGGAGTAAATTAGCATGTATGATATTTGGGTTCATGAGCGGTGGTGGCACACACCTTTAATTCCAGCAATTAGGAGGCAGAGGTAGGCGGATCTCTGAGTTAGAGACCAGCCTGGTCTACAAGAGCTAGTTCCAGGACAGCCAGAGCTGTTCCATAGAGAAACCTTGTGTCAAAAAAAAAAAAAGCCCCAAACAAAACCAAAACCAGGTTTGTTTGTTTGTTTGTTTTTTAAACTGATTATTTGGAGATCTGTGATCTTTTTGAGACTGTCAGATGTTTACACTTGGGTCAAGTTGGATGTGGCTGGAGATGAACATGGCAGTGTTTGCATTGTCGTGGTGCACTGCGCATATTCGTCTACTTTCGCAGCCACTGTAAAGAAATGAGCACAGGTGTTTGAACAGATGCTACATAGTGCAAACCAGTGGGCTGTAATCTGTAGGATGTTAATAAATAGTAAATATTTCTACTTGATAGCAAATTATGCTGACATTTATTTTAATATCTCTTTTCAACTAGGCATTTTAGAAATAGTTTTTTATAGTTGCACTCAACATGAAGGTTGATTTAATTCTCTAGATATCATTATTGGGAAGAGGCTAGAGATTGTCCATCTGACATAAAGCTGCCTTGTAGAACAGTAAATATTTTTTAAAAATCATCCTTTACAGAAAAATGAGCCTAGATAAAATAAGTCTAGACATGTTGTGTCACTTAAAATAGTAGCATTTAATATAAATTATCCTATTTGAATATTATTTTTGATAGCAGACAAACCTTAGTGTTGAACCAGTTATAGAAAAAGAAATATTCTGATATCTTTTTTTTTTTAAACAGTATATCCTGTCCCATGTGATGGAATTGCTGTATAGAGTTATAAGTAGAGCTTTAGTGCCAGCTTGTCATTGGTGCCAAAGAAATGAGAAGTGTTTATTTAGACGGTATTGCAAATTCAGCTGTAGACTAGATATAACTTGGTACCACTGAAGTTACCTTTGACTGGGAATATTTTATAGTTTTTTTTGTGATCCATGATAGGATGTTTTTCTCTTCTACTCAATAAACCTTTGATACTAGAGTAATGCTAAGGGACATACTCCTTGTCTTCGTTTTGTTTTAATTTGTCGTGCTTGTTTTTATGCCTTTTCAGGAGGGGCTCGATGCTCAGTACAGCCATATTTGTCTATGCTGCTACGTCTCCAGTGAATGGGTATTTTGGAGGAAGTCTGTATGCTCGACAAGGAGGTAACTTAGGAATTAGCACTCTTGAATCTTTAATTATTGATGGTATCCTTCTGCTGAGAAGTATTTGAAATTTAAAATGGGCAGTACAGGTTGTACAAATAGTAAAGGCCCTTGTTATATTGTGCATATCAATCACAATATATCAAACAATCACAATTTAGCAAATCTATTATGTTTACTATTTTGTTTTTATGGAACCTTTGTGTTTTATTTCCTGAAACTGTGAATAATTAATAATTTTCATTGTGAAGTTCGCACCAAAGAACATGTACAAGAGTACACCTAAATTACTGATGTTATGTTTCTTTGAGGTACTTAGCTCCCTAAATGTGCTTCTGGTGAGCCCGCCTTTATATTTATTCATCATAAAGTTACTATTTATGGGTGACTATAGAAGTTTGTTTTCTGGATACTTAATGACTATGAATAAAGCTCGCAGATGATGGTAGGATATTAGGATACTAGTGTCTCTTCCAGTATTCATCAAAGGACTCCTCATAAAGATTTATTCTGTGCCATTGTCTCAGGTGAAAGGATTTCATCTTAAATACCCTCTTTGCTCTGCTGTTACTAATCCCCAAAGATGAGGGTGATGCATGGTGGTGCTTCTTTCTGTGGTGACGTTCTGAGTCTTGAAGATTTTTTACTCTTCCTGTAATAGCATAGGGTCAGAAAGGTTCTTACACTGATAAATATGCACATTTTCACTTAGAACTGAAAGGTTTTTGAAAGACCTCAAGTATAGAGACAGTCTACTGGTTTTTTTTCCCAGCCTATCTAAACATGGTCAGCATTAGGAGATTCTGCCTTATATTGTATTATATTGTCTATAAATGTATGTGTGTGTGTGTGTATATATAGAGAGAGACAAACATATGTTTATATGTATGTGCATATATCTGTGTGTTTGTATATGTTCAGCATTCTACTAAGAGCAGAGCAGGATAGTGGAGGGCACAGTGGCACATACCTATAATCCCACTACTTTGACACAAATTCAAGATTAGTACAGAAACCTGAAAACTTTTATAGGTCGTAGGAAATCAGAGCAGAGGAGCATTTAAAATCCTCCTATATGGCCAAGTTTACCATTGCTAATTTTGTAGATTTTACTAGATATAGTGTGGTGGACAGTGTCTTTGTTTTAGACAGTTCTTTGGATGGCCTGCAGGCATATCATTATTGATTCCTATTTGATTTAGATGTTCAGACTCTAACTCTACCACCAGATATGAAGTCCGGCTATGTAGGAAGACATCCTAAGGATGCAAGGTGCTTAGTGTAACTTCCGCTGCTGGAAACCAATTAGGCTAACCCTGAGTTCCAGTCTCTACAACAGAAAACAAGTTTGTGTAAAATAGGAAATGGATTTATATCTGTATATAAGTTTGGTTTTTGTCTGATTATAAATTAAGGACAGTTTATCAGACTTCTTTATACTGTACTTGTTCTTAAATATTAATAGACTTAGGCCTAGGAATGTCAGATTTGAGAAAGTGTAATTTAAAGATTGTGTTCTGTTTGAGACTATGTGCTGATAGTTTTGTTTGAACAGTCCCTAAAAATTCAGGTTAACAAAGAGGTCAGCTCAGAGAATTGAGAATATTTCATTTGTCTCAGGTTTGCATTGTGCTGGGGCTCCAGATCTTTTCACTATCCCCAGCCAACAGTGTTCTAGATAACCCGGGTTTTGGTCAGAGTCTCCACAGAGGTGAGGAGCAGTAGGAGGCACAGCACAGAGGGCTGGTCAACTGATTGTATGTGTGGGACAGAGGGGCTAGAAGTAGGTAAGGAGTTGCATTTGTATTTGTCTGCAGCTGAGCAGATAAATGCAGTGTACAGGAAAGGACAGTGTGAGGATGGAGCTGTCTGATGATAGATCAGTAGATCAAGTCCGGGCCATGGATGGTGCATACTTTTAAATCCTAGCACTTGGGAGGCAGAGGCTGGTAGTTCTCTAAGTTTGAAGCTAGCCTGATCTACAGAGTGAGTTCCAGGACAGCCAGGAACACAGAAAAACCCTATCTTGGGAAGAAAAAGAAAACAGTGGTTTTTGACTTTAATGAGTTGTCGCCCCTTCTGTCATTGATGATTTCAATGCTGGCCATTGGGAAGGAAAGGCTCTTGAGTCTTCCTGTGGAAAAGAAATGAACTAGAAGAGAAAGTTCAGAATGGAGTTTCTTTGGAGGAATGTTAATATTTGGGATGGTGTAATTCCACCATCAAAAATGAAAAATCTCTGACAGAATTAGAACTAGAAAAACAATTAGCTTAGTATCCAAACCATCACAAATGATGTACAAAAGCTCAGCGCAGTTTTGTGGCAGAATCAAAACAAAGACATCAGTGTTATACGACAGGTCATTGCTCTTCTTCAGTTCAGCTACTTTTATAAACTTCTGCTACAAAAGAAGAGCTAGACTGATCTTTTTTAAAGTAATTGATTTGAAACAATTATTAGTATATCAGCTTTAGTAACCTTTTATTAAATGTTTAAGTAAATAATTTGGAACTACATACTACATTTTTAACATTAATGCATGTTTGTCTGTGTAGCTTAGATTTTTTATAGCTTCCCTTTTCTTTCAGGGAGGAGATGGATAAAGCAGATGTTTATTGGAGCATTCCTTATTCCAGCTATGGTGTGCGGCACTGCCTTCTTCATCAACTTCATAGCCATTTATTATCATGCCTCTAGAGCCATTCCTTTTGGAACAATGGTGAGTTGCTTGAATTTTTAGTTCAAAACAGGATGCTTATGACCATTCTGCTACAAGTCATGCTGCCTCTGTAAAGCCTCCTCCTCCTACTGAGGTTCTGAAGTTTCAGCCAGTCCCTGTCTTGGAAAGTTTTTATTAGGCTCCAGAAACTATTGATTAAATTTAAACCTAAGACCCCTACATTTTCTTGATGCTGTAAATTGAAAAGTTTTCTTTATAGCTTTTACTAGAGATAGGAGAGAACCGATGAATGAATATATTTTAGAGAAAAAGAATACCAAGAAGCATGAGTGTTTTATTAAGGTAATACGTGTTCTAATTTCCTTTTTTGTTTCCGTGATAAAACACTGAGCAAAACCAACTTGGTCCAGAGCAGGATCTGAGGTAGACGTTTAAAGCATTAAGCATGGAGGAGGGCTCTTCCTGCCTTGCTTCTGGGCTCATGCTCAGCTATCTTTTTTATACATCCCAAGACCAGCTGCCTACGTGGGCTGGGCACCCCTACTTCAACTAACAATCAAGAAAATGCCCCACAGGTGTGTTTATAGGCCATTCTGATGGTTATAGTTCTTCAGCTGAGGTTCCTTCTTCCTAAGTGTGTCAGGTGAACAACTGATGCTAATGATGAGATTATACCTCTTCTCATCTTTGACAAACATATCACTTTAAATCATAATCTCTCTTTTCTTTTTTCCCCCAAGATTTTATTACTATTATAATATAAAATGCAGTATACTTTTAAATTTCATCACTTCAGAAATCCAATGTCTCTTTTAAAACCCAGTCTCCTAATTATAGGCTCCCATAAAATCAAAACCATGTTATATACATTCCAGAGTGGGAGAACCAGGGCATAGGAACAACCAGGTTAAAGGAAAACTCCCAATATAGCAGTATAAATCAAATATTGTAGCTCAGTGTCCAGAATCTAGGACTCACAATTTCTGGGCTCCAAAGGGCTTACGTAGCTCCAAGCTAGAAAGCTCTGCCCTTCACAGCGCACATGCACGCCCACACACACACTCACACACACACACACACACACACACACACACACACACACACACACACCTTGTCTTGTGGGTTCAAGCAAGTCCATTCCACACTTGTTGATTACTTTCTTTGGTGAATGTCTCCAATGTGCTGAATAATGAGGCTTTACTAGTAGCCTTTGCTGGCAACATGGTGCTAAGCCTCAACTTCTCTCCATGACTCCTTCAGTCCTGGGGTTTCCATAGCAACGAGGTAGCACCTTTGCCAATGACCTCATTTTGGCTTTCTTCAGGGATACCCTGACACTGACTCACTGTGCCAAACTTTAGGTACTCTCCATGATCCCTTCATGCCTTTAAACCCAGTACCACATTGGAGACTCATGATGTTATAGGGCAAGTTCCGCTGTTAGCTTGATGTGCAGCCTTGGCCCACAGACCCCGTGGAAATGATTTTCCTGGAGATCATCTAGATTAGCGGTACTCAACCTGGGGGTTGAATAAACCTTTCACAGGGTTTCATCAGATCCCCTACATAGCAAATATTTACATTACAATTCATATTAGTAAAATTGAAATAACAGCATAATAATTTATGGTTGGGGTTCACCACAATATGAGGAACTGTATTAAAGGGTCACAGCATTATGAAGGTTGAAAACTATCAATCTAGATCATAGGAACTGTGTCTGAGAAGCCAGGTGCCCTACTAACTGAATAGCTTAGTTTGAAAATCAGTCTAGAGGCCATCCTGTGTGCTCTTCCTAATGTTCCTAATGCTCTTTCTGCCAGTTCATGAACATGAGTCCTTTCTCTAGAGGGCCTTCATGCTAATTCTTCCATCTTAACAAAGTTCCCACAACTCACAGCCAACCTAACTTTAGTGACTTCAAGCTTTTTTCTTTTTTCTTTTTTTTCAAGCTTCTTTCTTATCTAAAAGTAGTAAGTAAGTAAGAATTTTACCAGGGATCTGGATTTCAATCCAAATATTGCTGTTACCAGGACTAGCTTGACGTGGAATTCAAAGTAGATAGTTTTTCTTTGTACTCTAACTTCTATTCTTGTGTACCTAATTATACAAAGAACCACAAAACCTATTATTAGATTAAATTTGTTGAACAATAAGCAGCCTGAGACGTTTCATAAACATTAGTAGAAATTCATGGTAACATTGTAAAGTCTAGTGTCCTTCAAGAGAATATTTACAAGATGGAAGAGACCATTTAAGAACTTTGGAGTCAGACCATCAAGATACAATAACTGCCCCCAGAGTTGGAGTGTTATAGCAATGATACTACAGACACTGGGAGAGAATACTGGAAATTAAATTGATTTGCAGAAGGCTAAATCTTTTTCTTTGGCAAATTTGTTCAGTAATGAGTTAAGTATTAACACACAGGGATTTTGGTCCTATGAGTGTCTTGGTTTTTTTCCCATTGCTATGATAAAGTATCCTGACAAAAACAACGAAGAGAAAAGGTTTATGTGGCTTATGTTCCAGGTGACAGTCCATCAAGGAGGTAGGCGCTTCAAATTGCTCGTCTGTTATATCCAAGGTCAAAAGCAGAGAGCAGCCAACTAATGCCTGTATGCTCGTGCTAGCTCTCTTTCCCTACATTCAGCACAGTTAAGAATTCTCTACCACCAGGCGTGCTTTAATCCCAGTACTCGGGAGGCAGTGGCAGGTGGAGCTCTCTGAGTTTGAGGCCAGCCTGATCTACAAAGTGAGTTCCAGGACAGCCAGGGCTATTACACAGAGAAACCCTTTCTGGAAAAATCAAACAAACAAACAAAAAAAGAATTCTCTATCTAAGGAATTGTTTGTTTCACCTGTGGTGGATGGGTCTTCTCATCTTAAGCAGTAAAATCAAGACAGTCTACTATAGATATGCCCACAGGCCAACCTAATCTAGATAATCCCTCATTGAGACTTTATTCTCAGGTGATTTTAGATTGTCTCAAGTAGATAATTAAAAGTAACCATCATAGTTAATCACAGTACATGAGAAACAACTGAAGGGAGGAAGACTTTCTTTTTGTTGATGACTTCCGAGCCTTCCATGGTCAGCTAAACTATTTCTAGACCTGTGGTGAGGCAGAGCTTCATGGTAAAAGGTTGTCATGGAACAGGATGCTTGCTTTATGGCAGCCAGGAAGTAGAAACAGAGCAACCAGGGAGATAGCACCAAAGGACATCCCAGTGACCTGCTTCTAGTAGGCCCTGCCTCTGTTTTTTTCATCACAAGGTGTTTTGGTAATTTTTTGTTTTGTATTGATGGATGTCTTAGTAAGAGTTTCTGTTGTTGTAGAGACACCATGACCATGGCAACACTTATAAAGGAAAACATTTAATTGGGGTGACTTGCTTATAGTTTAGAGGTTCAGTCCATTACCATCACAGTGGGACATGGCAGCATGCAGGCAGATATGGTGCTGGGGAAGAAGCTGCTTCATGTTGATTTGCAGGCAACAGGAAGTAGACTGAATATCACACTGAGCGAAGCTTGAGCAAAAGAGACCTCAGAGTCTGTCCCTGCAGTGACAAGACCACACCTAATTAAAATAAAGCCACATCTAATAGCATTTGAATGGCAGATGCAGGCCTGGTCTACAAAGCAAGTTTCAGGACAGCCAGGACTGTTACACAGAAAAATCCTGTCTCAGAAAAAAAAGCAAAACAAATAAGTCCTCCTTTAATTGAATTGACTTGAATAAATAATGGTAAACAAATTCATTTTATACTCTAAAAGAAAGCCTTAAGACATGGATCAGAATTGGAACCAACGAATGGTTTCATTCTTTTTCATAAAATAACTTTCACACAAGAAGAGTAAAAGGGAGCATTCTTTGAGGAGAAGGATGAGGTTTAAACCAGATGATGTAATTGATTGTGTGGGGATTCCCAGTTCCTTCTGTCCTGTCTGCTCATTCATGTGCATGTTTTCTTGCAGAGCAGAGATACCATATGGGCAGGAGAGACATTTGTGAAACTGGACCCAAATCTTCTTTCTTAAGGGAAAAGGAAGAAAGTAGATTTCACTTTGCAGAATGGGGTGGATTTATATTGATGAGGCACAAGGTTTTAGAATTGGTTATTAATTTTTAAAGGATGGAAGCAATTATAGGAACTAGTGTGAATTCGTTTATTCAAAACAGCTAGAATACCATCATTTCCCAATTTGAGTAGGTTTTAGAAAACTAGAACACGACAGCGTAAGTAGACACGGCATCCTAGTGGACAAGATAAAGAAATGTGGTCAGAGCCATCGTGATGAGGCTCGGAGCATTGGGATGTCACAGTGCAGCAGCACATACTGCACTGGAGGAGATGTGACAGTGTCAAGTGTCAGTCTGACCACTGTGGAGTGCTGAAGGTGCTGTTTAAGGGGATCTCATCTGATGGATGTTTGAGATCTAGAGATTCTTTGTGATAGGAGCGGCATGTTTTGTAGTTCCTGGTGCTTTTATAACTATTACCTTAGTTAGTTTTCAAAGGAACTAAATAGAAATTGGGGGGATAATTAATGTTTTGTAACATTAAACTCCCAATGTGTAGTAATTGATCCAGTAGTATTTCTTCTGTTTGGGTTGTGTTGTTAGTGGTGAGGATGGGGTTTTGTTCATTGGGTTTGTTGTTTGTATTTCTTTCTCCCTTTCTGTCAAAATGAGTTTCTCCAAATTGTGTATAAACATTCATGTAGGCAAAACACCCATACCCATTAAATTTAAAAAGAAAGAATTCCAGTTGTTTTTTACCTGTGCCAGCACTTGATATAGTCGATCTTCCTAACTTTAGCCCATCTAGTCAGGGTGCAGTGGGTTCTGCCTTTCATTTCTCAGTTGACTTGTCAGTCACATGGATGGCTTTATAGGGGGAGGATTGCTTATTTCTGTATGCATCTTTAATGGATGTTGAAACCTTTTGTGCTTCTGTTTTATTTTATTCTCCCCCACCCCTCAAGACAGAGTCTCTTTACACAGCCCTGGCTCTTCTGGAACTCTCTCTGAAGACTAGACTGGCCTTGAACTCACAAAAATTCACCTACCTCTGCTTTCTGAGTGCTGGGATTAAAGGTGTGAACCACCACACCCAGCTGTGTCTGTGTGTGTGTGTGTGTGTGTGTGTGTGTGTGTGTGTGTGTGCGCGCAGGAGTGTGCCTATGGTGGGGAGAGGGGCATGCATGTGCCAAGGTGCAGGTGAAACTCAGAGGACAGCATGTAGGAAGAAGTCTGTTGTCTCCGTCACCATGTGGGTTCCAGGGATTAAATGCAGGTCATCCCTTTTTTCCCTTTTCCAGTTTGTCCTTAAAACTGTCCTATTTAGGGAGTCTTTTGCCAAACTAAACAGCAGTGAGCTTTTCTTGGTATATCATCTTTTAGAAATCCTGTAGTTTGGTCTCTGAAACCCTGAGAAAATTTGAGATATTTTATTTGCACATAGCATCCTCTGTTGGCAGGGCTCTGCTTGCCTGCAGCGCTCCCAGAGTGTCTGCTGTGAGTTGGCAGTACCTGGATAAAGGAGCCGTTGGTTGGAATGCTCAGTAAACTAAAACCAAGTAATTTAGTCATAATAATGAAAGATAAGGGTAGACACATAAAAGCATGCCACTGACAGGAAAGGAGATCCCAACGTACTTTATTGGGGGCAGTGTGGAAGGCTAGGGATAGTGGGAGCTAAAGGTGCAGAGGGAAGAGTTCACTTTGTGTGTGATTTGCTGTGAGCATTTTTTCCTGTTTCCAGTAGTGCATTCCTTGTATCAGTTTAGCCCTCAGAACTTAACCTTTTCTCCGTGATTGCTGTGTTTGAATTTTCAGGTGTCTCTCTTAATTGTTTTTATTAGTGTTTTTGTTCTCTGAGTAACCACACACATTTTTATTTAATTTACAGGTGGCCGTTTGTTGCATCTGTTTTTTTGTCATTCTTCCTCTAAATCTTGTTGGTACAATACTTGGCCGCAATCTGTCAGGTCAGCCCAACTTCCCTTGTCGTGTCAATGCTGTGCCTCGTCCTATCCCGGAGAAAAAATGGTAAAGAGAATGCTAAAGCTTATTTCATTATTGTCACAGTGCATACGCTTTTAAGGCTGTTTTGTACGTACAACTTTAGAAACAGCTTGTGTTTATGCAAAACACTTTTAAATTTAAATTTGTTCTTTTTAATTTTCTCATTAGTCTACATTGTAAAGAATATAGTAAGCCATGCCTTTATTTTGCTTTCTGAATATTGCTGCCGTTGACATGTCAAAACTTTGATAAACACAGTAGTGTGTAGAGGTGGGTGGAAAGTAAAGCTTCAGAAGTCTTTTAGGCTGCAGATAAAATGTGACTACTGCCTCTTGTTGTAGGTTTTTTTTGTTTGTTTGGTTGTTTTTTTTTTTTTTAAGAGGGTTTATCTATGTAGCCTTGGCTATCCTGGAATTCACTCTGTAGACTAAGTACTGGGATTAAAGGCTGTGTGTCACCACTATTGTTGCTGCCTGTTTTTGTAAATAAAGTTTTATTGGAACACAGCTATACCTGGTCTTCACATACTACTTAGGGCTTCTTTTACTTTGCAGCATCAGAGTTGACAGAGCAGTAGTTACACAGAGACCATATCACCAGCAAAATCTGAAACCCTCTGAATTATAGAAAAATCTGCCAACTACTTGTTGATAATTTCTTTTTCCTATCAGATATTTTATTCTAAATATTGACCCATTTATTTTCATATTAAGTCGATCAATTGAGAAATGAATTAAGATTAAGACCAGTGGTAAATATTTGAACACAAAATAATCCAAAAATATACTAATTTGATAACTTATTTGCTAAGAAATAATAATAGGAAAAATATTAAAAGTCTTTGTTTTCCGTAATTAAACCATGATGTTTCTATAAGCAGCAGACTTTGTAGGGATAGTAAACATTGCCGTTTACACAGTAGGCTCGAATCTGAGCTGTGTCTCAGATAGCATTGTTTGGTGTTGCGTGGCATCAAGGCACACACAGGCAAGTGTTCAGGACCAAGGCTTCAGTGAAGTCCTGCAGTGTAACATGGGCAAGCACTGTCAGAAACACTGTTCAGATGTGTTTGATTTTGTTTTAATTTTGGGCCATTGAATGTTCAGAAACCTTTTATTCTTGCTGAATTGTTCACAACCCACACATTCAGTTACATGGCCCCCAGTCTAAGAGAGAGAATAATGTTCCACTTTTAGGAATTTTGTGCTTTTCTTTGTTAGATTGGTGCCTGTAAGAAACTTTGGACTGAAGAGTTTTCAGTTCACTTTTTAAACTGCTTTTCTCCTAAATCAGTATTAGATTATAGGGCCCATTAATTACTCATGTTCAGCTTCTTACTGGAGAGAGAAAGGTAAAAAGAAAAGCCTAGTCAGAAAGCACAGAAGATCTTTGAGAAGTAGGGTTAGTGAGGAGAGGTATGAACAACTCCTGCCTTGCATACCAGAGATCAGTCTTTTAGGTGCAGGGAGGCTGGTGTGGGGCTCCTTCTTTTATTGTTTTTTAATCATGTGAGAGTGAAATCTGAATGCTAGGTCTTCCTCCCTCCCTCCCTCCCGCCCGCCCGCCCGCGGTGGAGGGATGTTAGGAGTCAGTGAGGATGGGGGAAAGTCTTCCTGGATTCAAAGGAAAGGCTTTGAGAACTGCCTGTGCTTGCTGGAAGGAGAACATGAGACAGCATTCCAGATAGAGACCAGTGATTTTCACTCAGTGAATGTTGGCTAGGAGAAGGGAGGAAGTTTGCATTTTATTTCTTAGTCTTTCTTTGCCCCACTGTAAAGCAAAACTGTCAATACCTTGATTGTTGAATTTGTTGGAAAAGAGTGAGAGCCAAGAAGAAAGTGGATTAAGGTCAAGAAGGTCAGTCCTGAAAATCGTTTCAGATAGGGATCTCAACTTTTTTCTTTTCTACCTTTCCCCTCTGAATTTCTGTAAGAAACTACAGAGTTCTCAGAAGTTACTGAAAATCGGTAAACTAGGAATAAATACTTAATGTGCTTCTTACTCTGCAGTAGCAACCATTTGTGTTCCTCAGATCCTTCCCTCAGGCTTTAATGCTGGAGAGAATATTGACTCCAAACGATGACTAATTGAAATCTCACTCACATTTTTATGCCTCTTCGGATTTTGGTTTTTCTTTTTATTGGTTTGTCTTTATCCACTGGGATAATTGTTAAAGTATTAAACATCACCTTTTTATATTGGGATTTATATATATTATGAAACCACACTAACAGTACACTATTAATTCTAATATTTTCCAGGTTTATGGAGCCTGCAGTTATTGTTTGCCTGGGAGGAATTTTACCTTTTGGTTCAATCTTTATTGAAATGTAAGTTTTGGCAATGTTTTCATGTTTGAAGGATTTAGTTATAACAGAATGTATGGATTAGATCATGCTAGATTGGTGTGGAATCAGCAGACAAAGCGGTCTCTCTGGAGTCAGTTTTGCACTACTTTAATGAAGTACTGAGGTTGAGAACTTTTTAATGAACAATTTTATTTAACTTACAGAGTTAGAGATTCTAAATAGCAGTATATTATGAAGGGAAGTCAAGGCAGGAACCTGAATGTAAGAACTGATGCAGAGACCATAGAGAAAACCTGCTTCCTGGCTTGCTTGCATGACTTGCTCAGCCTGCTCTCCTGTATAACCAAACACCACCTGCCCAGGTGGCACTGCCTGCAGTGGTCTGGGCTTCTCAAACCAACCATTCATTACACAGGAAAATGCTCCACTGACTTGTCTGCAAGCCAGTATGATGGAGGTATTTACTCAGTTGAGGTTCCTCTCCCCAGAGTATTCTAGCTGTGTCAAGTTGACAGCAAGCATAACCAGCACAACTCATACGTATAACTATATAAATAGGTAGTTGTCTTTTGTTGCCTGTCAGCTGTGAGTATACTGTAATCATTGGTGGGTACCTAGAAGGAGACTGGAGTGGGTCACTCTGACTTGTTTAATAAAGCCAGTTAAGGAACTCTGTACCTACAGCTGATAATCCTCACTCTGACTTGACCGCTTACTGCTGGTTCTAGAGGTCATACTTTTCCCTGCTTCCCTTTGCCTCTCTTCCACTAGACTTCTCTGCTCTTTCAGGTCATGCTTGTTTTGGTCTTCTCACACCTGTCCTCCTAGCATGGCATTTTTAACCTGTCTTGGTTTATTTTATTTATATGTTTTAACCTTTTAGTCTTAACCTGTCTTGGTTTATTTTATTTATATGTTTTAACCTTTTAGTCTCCTTATGTCACTTTTCTTTTGCTAAGGATTTTGAATCTCAGTGCAATGATATGCTACTGCCTTCACGATGTGACCAGCTGGGTGTTCATAGAATGAACCAATCCTGTTCGCTCTCTTAGCTTCTACCCTTTTGTTGAAGTTCTAGCCATGCTGAACATTTTGAGGGCTTTTTCTTTTGTTTTTTAGATTTATGCGTATGAATTTTTGCCTACATTCATTATGTGTTTACCATGTGCATGCCTAGTGCCTTTGGAGGCCAGAAGAGGGTGTCAGAGTTTTGAGGTTGGGAGCGACCATGTAGGTGCTGGAAATCGAAGTCAGGTCCTCTGCAAGAGCAGCTGGTGCTTTTAAATGCTGAACAGTCTCTGGTCCCAGAGTTTTTTGTTTGTGTGTTTAACTTACTGGATTTCTTTACCTAGAACCAGTCTTCTGCTCCTGATGTTTTCTGTCACAAGTCTTTCTCTTGCTCCCCACCCCACCCATGTCCTCGTCCTGTTTTCACTCCTTTTCCAATTCCTCACCCAGTTGTACCAGAGGACTCCCTCCTCTCATTTGCTTGGTATGGTGTACAGCTGCGAGATCAGGGTTGTCTTAGAGCCAGCCGTCTCCTAGAGCGCAGTGATGTTTCCTGACTGTGCTGATCTTCACTGCGCTTTCTGAGATTTAAGATAATTGCATCATTTCTTCCTTTCCATCTTCCCTCCAAACTTCTCTATGTCACCCCATAATATGCGACAAGGGATCCGTAAATAGCTGTTGAAACGTGTGGGCATGGGATGGAATAAGTGGATTACAAAACAGGGATTTTGAAAAGAGAAGTAAAAGACCCTGTTCTGAGTTAAGGATGATTTGAGTAATGAATGGCTTTCAAGAGTGTTTTTGTTTTTGATTTTATTTTTTAATGAAAAAATATTCCCACTCTTTCTCTCGCTGTCCTGAAGACAGTGTCAATCTGCTTTAGACTTTGGCTTCCTGTTTTGTCGTCTTCTCTAATTCTGTATACTCTTAATTGTATCACTTATTTTTCTTTTAACAGAATGTTTTCTAAAACATGAAAACTATTACTTAAGTAATGTTTCCTCTTAAAAAGTGGAAGAATGAAGAAAATGACGATTTTATGAATGTAGATTGCAGCTGTTCTCGTTTTCGATGTTTTAACTTGTTTAAGCTTCTGATTTAGTCATTTTGCTCGGAGGTAAATGCCTCCAGAATAATTTGTTCTTTAGAAACATCACAAAAAATATTTTGAGAATTTTAATAAATGAGAGTTAAGAGAACCTGTTGGAAAAGAGTAGAAAGGATGCTAGCAAGTGTTAAGGGGACTGACAGAGTAACCTCAAGGCCGCCCTCGTTGTCCCTTCTCAGGTACTTCATCTTCACTTCTTTCTGGGCATATAAGATCTACTATGTTTATGGCTTCATGATGCTGGTGCTTCTCATCCTATGCATTGTGACCGTCTGTGTGACCATCGTGTGCACATATTTCCTGCTGAACGCAGAGGACTATAGGTGGTAAGTGCTCTGGCTGTTCTAGAACTTACTATACAGGCTAGGTTGTCCTCAACTTAGAGATATCCACCCGCCTCTGCCTCACAAGTACTGGGATTAAAGTTACGCGCCACCACACCCAGAGAGGATCCTAATATCCTAAGTTTACCTTTGAAGCCTGTTAAGCTGAGGAAAGGATTTAACAGAAATTGTTCTGTTTAAGATAATAGGATCTGGGAATGGCGGTACACACTTGTAACCCTGTCACTGGGGAGACGCTTGGCTATAGATTGATACTCTAACTCAAAAAATAAAATGAATGAATAGGAAAGATAGTAGAATTGTAAATATGACGAAAGTTTTATAAGAAAATGGTATCAGTCCAAATTTTTTAGTCCTATTTGAAATATTTCTGCAAAGTGCTTGATGCTGAGTTTGTGGGGTCTGAAAGGGGAAGTGGTTTGTCTGAAGTCATTCACAGATATGACCAGATGCTGGAGTTTCTAGTTCCCAGGCTTTCTGTCAATAATAGTTAAGCATTAGGTACAATAATAGTTAAGCATGTTTTTAAGTACACTAGAATTTTAAAGGTTTTTTTTTTAATTCTTTGCCTTAAAATTTGAATGCCATTCATTTCAAAGGCATAATCTTTTTTTATTTTGTTGTTCCAGGCAATGGACAAGTTTTCTCTCCGCCGCATCAACTGCTATCTATGTTTACATGTATTCCTTTTACTACTATTTTTTCAAAACAAAGTAAGTGGAGGTTTTCTCTCATGGGTCACCTAGGAAACTGCACTTGCCCTTTAAATAATGAAGTATAAAGCCTCAGGTTGGAAGTAAATGCATGTGTTTAATATTATTTTATTGTATTGCAGGATGTATGGCTTATTTCAAACATCATTTTACTTTGGATATATGGCAGTATTTAGCACAGCCTTGGGGATAATGTGTGGTAAGTTTTTAAATTCTTGGAACATGACAAGAAAAGTTTTGAGCACCTGAGACTCAGGAAAACACTGACTTAGAAATTAAGAAATTCTGGGCTGACAAACCTGCATCTGAGCCCTGGACGCAGAAAGCTGGGTCAGAGAACTGGCACCACAGTTGTTCTCTGGCCTCCATTCATGCCTTGCCCAGTAATAATCAAATAGAAGTTAAGGCATTCTGTTCTGCTGCTCTATCAGGAACACCAAATGAATCCAGAAGTTTGCCTTCAGTCTTTTTCACTCTGTCTTAAAATCTGATCTATTGCTTGATTAAGTTCTGCTTTTGTAGCTGTTCTAATGATACCACAGAGCACAGAATTACTATGGTTAGTTTCTCATTCACGTTGGGAATTGTCTTGTTTTGATACTGTCTTTCAGTGTTGCTTAGCCTAGTCCTGGCTTAAACTTCTAGACTCAAGTGATCCTCCTGCCTCAACCTCTTGAGTAGCTGGGGTTACCAGTGTGTATGGTATCACATGCAGTTGAGAATTGGCATTTTAAAGCATGTTCATTTTGGAAGGATTATATGTCGGCAGGTGTAAGGTGGTGCCTGAATGATTTCTGCCTAGATGTTTTTTGAGATGTTGCTGAAGATACCCGTGTTGGAAGGCAGCCCAGGTTACTGGCAATGAGTGCAGCATATCTGTTTAGTTTTTCACAGTGGATTTGGCTGATTGTATCCCTGAGGTGTTTTGCCGTACACCTCTCCACTCCAAGCCTTTTGTAAAATAGTAGTTCAAGCAACAATAACCTGTTGTACTCGGTGCTTATCCAAGAATACTTCAACAGGTGGTTGTAGGTTTTTATTGGGAGATATGTGATGTGTGTGTGAAGTTAAAAGCCTTTGATAATTATTGCCTACTTAAAGTAATTCATTAGTTGTTATAATCTTGTAACGCTTACTCCTGATTATTAGCAGAGATTTGTTTATAAAAAGAGTCTTCTTTACCTCATCTGTTTTGTTATCTTGAGATAGATCAATTTGGTGATCATGGTTGGGGGTGTAGCTCAGAGTGCTGTTCTAACACTTAAAAACCTTTGGGTTCAATCTCTAGTACTGTTAGAAAAGTGACGTGTGTGTGTGTGTGTGTGTGTGTGTGTGTGTGTGTGTGTACTATTAACACATAGGAGATGTAATTTAAAAGTTTTAAGGAATAAATCCAGTGAAGAATGGTCATTGACTAGCTATTCTAAAAGACACCGAGGTTTGTTTTTGTTTGTTTGATTTGTTTTTTTCTTTTAAAAAAGTCTCAGTTATTTGTCTAAGGAGACTATTTGGTTTACATTCAGTTTATTCAGCAGATAATGATTGGGTAACTTTCTTGTGCTAGGTGCTCTTAGACACAGAGGGTAAATATTTCATTAACAGCACGCTCTACTTTCTGAAATTTTGAGCCCCACTTTGAGGTTTATTGTTTGAAACTTCCGACCCACTTACCTATCTCTTGGTCCAATCTCCTGCCAACCTTTACAGCTTTTATAACTTAAATAGGAAAAGGAGGCACCAGAAAGGATCTTTTTCTAGAGTTGCAACACCACTGGGTCATGCTTCTCTGAATTCCCAGAAGCCTCCCTCATTACGTCTTATGGCTCTGTAAGTTTTTGGAAACATCTGGATATTGCCATGAATGTTCATTCACACTTCTGATACTAGCACCCAGGAGGCTGAGGCAGAAGATTCCAGAATTCAAGGAAAGCCTGGGCTATATAGCAAGATTGTGTCTGAAAAAAACAAAGTATTGCTTTAATGGGCTGAACTTGTCATTATCAAGTCGGTCTTTCTTTCATGAGTTATATTTTAATTCCACAGTTACTGACAATACAAGTAATAATTGTGATTTGATTCTAAATAATAGGTTAGGGTTTGGCTATAACAGATGCTTTGCAAAGCAAATGATAGCATTTAAGAGATTTGGGGAGAATACTAATATAAAGACATTATCCTAAAAAAGGTATGAAACTCTCTAGAACAGAGAACATTTAATATTTGTAAATGGCAGACCCTGATCTCACTGTATTTGTTTCAGAATACATTATTTTATTTTTGCAGGAGCAATCGGTTACATGGGAACAAGTGCCTTTGTTCGAAAAATCTATACTAATGTGAAAATTGACTAGACACCTGAGACACCTGGAGCTTCGGATCAGTTTCTCTTTCATGAGGGTGGAACTTGCACAGAAAAGAAAAATAAGCGCAAGAAGAGATTTGGGCTTAACACTGGGTACTTGTGGGTCTCTTTCATGGATGGCTTAAAGTAACATCTATTTCCATTGATCCTAGGTTCTTACTGACTGCTTTCTCCAACTGTTCACAGCAAATGCTTGGATTTTATGCAGTAGGCATTACTACAGTACATGGCTAATCTTCCCTAAACTAGCTCATTAAAGATGGAATAGACCAGCTCTCTTCAGTGAAGAGGACAAATAGTTTATTTAAAACATTTGTTTCAACAAAAGAACTGAGGGAAACTTGGATGCTAAGATTCCATGAGTAGAAATCTTCTTGGCACTTGGTGTTTCTATGTTATTGAAAAATGATGTTCCAGAAAGATTATTTTTTCTCTTATTTTTACTGCCATTGTTGATCTATTGTGGGACATTTTTATATATTGAACCTGGGTTGTTTTTGACCTGTTTTTGGTCGTCCCTCCATTCAACTGCATCTTTTTTTTTTAAAGCAAAATTAAAAACTATTAAATTCTGCATGGGATTTATCTTCTGTCATCTTAATCTTAGTTGGATCAACCTCATTTATTTATCTTAAAATTAACCAGTTATAATATCTCAATTCCATCCAAAGAAAATACAGTATGAAAATAGAGGTGTACTCACTATAAAGCAATTTACTGTACAGTTAGCAAGCAAAGTGTTAAATGAAGAAGATACTTGTTTTATTAAACATCTGGAGATTTAGATAAATTACATTTTAACTGAATGTCTAAAGTGATTATCTTTCCCTCCCTCCCCCAAGTTAGTCTTACATCTTTTTTTGGGTTTCAATGAAGGCTTTACATAAGAAATTATTTAAAAAAATAAGGGTGGGTCAATAAGTGTATATAACAGTAATAACGCCTTGTAGGTGTAGGTTTCTGGATGCATTTGGATGTACAGATTGACTGGAGGACTTTTGGGGTGATTGGTGTAGAAATGTGTGGGTTTGGGTGGCTTTTTACATCTTGCCTACCATTGCATGAAACGTTGGGGTTTCTTCAAAATGTGTGTGTCACACTTCTTTTGGGAGGGGTTGTCTTCTTCTTTTATGAAACTTCTCCTTGAGCTAAATTTGTAATTTAGAAACATTTAATTTTGTTAATCCTGTCTGGGACATTTAAGTAACATCTAAAGCATTATTGCTTTAGAATGTTCAAATAAAATTTCCTGACCAAATGGTTTTGTGACAATAGATGTGTTTATAATTTGAAGGTATATGCTCAAAAGGCAGTACACTACGAAGCATACTTTTCAAATGCAGAGGACCCACACTTTACAATCCCAAACACAGAGCCAGGTGTGCTAGTTTATCTCTATAATCCCAGCACCAGGAAGCTAAGGCAGGTTGCAATGAATTTGAGAACTGGGCTACAGAGTGAGTTATAAGCCACTCTGTGAGTTGTGTGCTACTCTGTAAGACCGTTCCAAATAAGTAAATAATAAAAAGAACAAAGTTCAGAAACCTGACAATGGATACTTACAAAGTGAGTGATAAAACTCTATATGAAATTGTGACGTACAAATAGAAACATTCATTGGATTGCTGCATCATGTAGAATAGAAGGGAATATAAGTGGCTAAGCTAAGAACGTTAGCTCATTCAGTGGGTAAACAGATGAAGGCTACAGAAATCTCAAATTATTATAATTTGCACATATATTTCTGAATCTGACCATATTGCAGAGTCTTCCTAGAACCATTGAGTTTCTAATTCAGTACTGTGCTCTCCAGATACCCCCCCAAACTATACTGTATATCGGTGTTTTTCGAAAGACTCAAATCATCTGCTTTAAACTTGAATGTAAAAGTCACGCACTCACAGTTACATTAGATGCTTTTAGAAATCAGTGGGCTCCGTGTCTTCACCTGAGGCGTCTGACATCTTGAGGGTATTTGGACTCTTGACCTTAGTGAGCTGTAAGCCATGTGAGTAGAGCTGTGGTCAGTCATCTTCAGGTCAGAATCTCAGCTGCAATGTCACAACTAATTGTCAGCATCTTCTCTTTCTCACCTGCCCTGAGGACCTTAAACTGAAAGGCACTGTTTATTTATATCATGTAACTTTTAATACAAGAACACTTAGTCCACAGGTTTGGGTGTAGCTCAGTTAGAGTGCTTGCCTCGCTTACACAAAGCCCTGGTTTGACCCCCACAATGTATAAGCCGGGTGTGATGGGACATACGTGCAGTCACAGCATTCAGCAGGCAGAGTTACCCTCAGCTACAGAGTGAGTTCAGCACTACCTTGTGCTGCTGACATTCTGTCTCTAAAAATGAAACAACCCTTCATCTGTCTAATGAAGTATATATAAACTAGATAGCAAATTTTTGTCCTAATAAAATTTTTGTTTCTCATAATCTTACAGGTAAGGTTTTCAGAGAACATGCTATTTCAGGTGCACCTGTTTTTTTCTGCTAGGTTGAGCTCTGGAGTTCTTGGAAGTCTACAATGAAAAATAAATTTCCAAATAGATTAACAATAAAATGAATAAAAATTACTTTGAAAGATCCTTTTTAAAAAGACTTGTATTGGTTGGTTTATAACATCACAGAGGGGCGATGTAAATGTATACCTTGAAAAAGATATAGGTCATAGGTGTCTCCCTAGACCTCGGTTAGTAGACTCATTCAAACAGTGTCTGAGTTCATTGGAAAGTGGGGCTTTTGTACTCCATTAATACTGTATATTTAATTTACTAACATTTGCTTAGTTAGTCAGCTGATAATTTGAATACTATCAAAAACTAAGAATATACTTTGTATTTTTAAGCATGATTCCTGAAAATTAACTATACTGGTCTCCAAGTACAAGAGTAGGTTTTGAAAAAGTGGAACTGACCTGGTTGGAGGGACCTCAAATGTGCTAGTGTATTGTATAGGTTGGCATACTGCATTGATTTGCAGAGAAACCCATGCCCTTAGAATCATTGTCTTGGGGTGTCTGGACCTCATGGCTGGAATGCTCGGATGTTTCCCACTGGTGGTGGCTGGCCCTTTTTCCAAAGGTGGTTGTTACAAATTCCAGTTCTTCCAAAAGCCACTTGATTTAAGGGTTTATCCACAAATTGTGCCCATTTTGATATAGCATTTGTTTCCTAAATGTTTACTAATCACTTTATGCCAAATGTCTTGCAGATGATATTTTTAAATTTCCTGAATTTTTACAAATGTAAAAAGGGAAAAGTGTATTAGTGTAATTTGTTCAGGAATGGCCATGGTACCGAAGGGCTTCTAGGAGATCTAGGGGCAAAAGCCTTACGTAGAAACCTGTGCACTACAGTTCCATCTGGGTTCTAAGTTCAGATTTCAGCGCTTCTTAGTAACTTCATTCTGTTGATTGGAACATGCATTAGGAGTAGTGATTTACAGGAGCACAGATGTTTGTGTTTCTATCATGTAAAATTCTGTAATTAAGGGATATTTTAGCAGTCAAGGCGTTAAAGAGATCAGAGGAGGGGAAATGTAGGAGGATTGTCTGAAAGTGTATTTAGGACTAGACTAGTTCTGCAGAGAGGGTAGAACAGGGGGGTGGCACACACCTGCAGGCCCTGTGTATGACTGTGTCTGAAGGTGACCTGAACGTTCCTACTGGAGCCGTGTGTGTGCAGTGTACGAAGTAAAAAGTTACTTCACGGTCGCTGTAAAATAGTGAAGTTCTGGAGGACTGGGCAAGGCACAGTTTGTACTTGCCCTCGCCTTGTCAGTTTAGGCTGTCTACATGTTGTAAGTGCCGTAAGTAAGAGCTAATGCGAGGAGGAAAAGGGTTGCCTGAAGGACAGCAGAGTTTTCTATAAAAGCATCTTTGGGCTTCTCCTCTGTGTTCACTTTGAACCTTCGAATCCCCACAGAGCACAACAGTCAGCAGGAGGGAAGACATGGTGATTGCCCATGTCACTTACATTTTGTATTCATTCTGGGTTTGTGTAGGCCGTATTCTAACTGGCTTTTTAGTAATAGAAATCGGTATATAATGTATCAGATACAATTGAGGTTCTAATCTAGTCTGTTAATTTACCTGAAGTTGGATTTTTTTAAAGTAATAAAAAATTAAATGTACTTTCCTTGGATGCTTGCTTTCTTTCCATTCTGAAACAGGTGGACCAAAGTGTGAAGGATATGATAACTTGTCGTTTCCAGCCTGCCTGCCAAGAGAGAGTCATAGAATTCACTCCACAGTTAGGTAACTCAGTTCAGAAGTTGTCTGTGGTCAGATAATGAATGAGTTCATGTTGACGCCCCATACACTTTGTGCAACAACATGGGCATTCTAAAACAATGCAGACAGTTGGAGAACATGGAAGTAGTCAGCAGGCCAGAAAGTTGAGGTCTAACATCCACACCTGCCCCCACTTGTGTTTTCAAAACAAAACATTGTACTGGAAAGTGGAAGGAATGGTATAGTGAACAAGATTTCTTTTAAAAACTGTTTTTTATCTTTTTACCATTCTTGGTTGGTAAGCTTTGACCCACTCTCAGCACCCTTCTCCCTTATGCCCGTCAGTCCTGTGATTGACAAGGCCCTGGCTTTGTCTAGAATGAGTTGCTTTTTCCAGGAAAATTTACACGAGTCCCCTTGGTATGTAGGACACTGAGGCAGCTAAAGGGGCTCTCTGGGTCTAGAAGTTGCAGAATTGGTACCTGGTTATCTTCATTGTTGTCATTATAAAATGAAGATGTCACCTCTCCAGCCTGCAGAGCAGCAACATATATAAGTGGAGGGGACTGATGGCTCTGCTGTGGTAAAGTCTGGTTAATTTCTCCAGTCCTCTTTGTGATTTTTGGCTTCCTCACCACTTCTAACTGGTTTTAAGACCCTTATCCGCCTCTTTGGTTCTTAAAGCAGTTCCCTTGCTCAACACCTATACATGGGAATTCCTGTTAGCCGTATAGTTTGGTTAGTGCAGATTTGACTGACTTCTGATATTTTCTTGCCTGAACTCTTTGTCTGGTTGGAAAACCAGGTATAGATTCTACACCACAGAAGGAAGCCTGTTGTTACATACCCTACTTCTTGACCTCGGAGTAAAGTGAACTCCTCAGCGTAATTTATAACGAACAGGCCTATATTCAGTCAAATGGGTCTATAAATTAAATATTTGTTTTAAATGATTTTCATTTTCACAGTTTGCTAAGTGTGAATAGGGCTTTCAAGTTTAAGAAAAAGACTTGCAGGAACATTTTAACTGGCTGGTTTTTGTTAACTTACAATGGATCAGTCTAAGTCATCACTACAGGGCTAACCATGAGGTTTCAGAGAGAGGAGAACCTACAGAGATGCAGGTGATTCAGGTTGGGGTTAGTTTAGTTAGGTGATGTGGGATTTCCCTCTGTATGCTGTGAATATGTTTTATTACCATTGGTTAATAAAGAAGCTGCTTTGGCCCATGGCAGGGTAGATTATAGGTAGGCGAGAAAGCTAAACTGAATGCAAGGAGAAAGAAGGCAGAGTCAGGGAGATGCCATGTAGCCACTGCTGGGAATAGACATGCCAGAACCTTACCAGTAAGCCACAGCCTCATGACAATATACAGATTAATAGAAATGGGTTAATATAAGATTAAGAGCTGGCTAGGAATATGCTTGAGCCATTGACCAGTGTTGTAATTAATATAGTTTTTGTGTGATTGATTATTCAGGTCTGGGTGGCAAAGAAGCAAAAACACAGTCTCCAATTACATTCGGTCAATTGAAATTAGCTTCAGTGGGAAGTTCTGAAAGGTTTAAGCACCTTAGATGTGACGGTAATATATGCTGGCACAAGGGTGCAGGTTTGTTCATCCAAGTGTTCCAAGAAAAAACATGGAATTAGGAAGAGGGAAGACCCTGTTAGGGTGATTGTAGATGTTGAGGACAACAGGAGTAGAACTTGGGAGGTGGTAAGAATTCAGGCTATATGATGGCTGTAGAAAGGTTTGAAGGTGGTAGCCTAGGGTGCCACCTTGAATAAAGTAGTTTTAAAGATCATGACAATTGTTAAGAGTCATTTAGCTTCAAAGAACTCAGTACATCACCCCAATGATGTAAAGGAAGGGATGAGCCAGAAGAGTACCTGTGTTCTGAGGTTCACTGCCTGTGCTGAAGGTAAAGATGGGAATGAGGAAAGGAGGCTAGAATTAGATCTGAAGGGGTGCGAGCAGCTGTAAAATAATTTGATGCACTTGGGCAAAGGTGTGTAGATGTGACAAGCTGGGCAGCATATGAGGAAAAGACTACTTAGAGGCTTTCCTCTGGACCACAGGTACCGAAGAGGTGACGTAAGCATGGAACGTAGAACCGAGTTGAACAGTTCTAGGTCATAACACCTGTTCTAAATTGACCTCCACTTTCCCCATGAGATTTAGATTTTTATTTGTGTGTACAGGTGTTGTGCCTGCATGTATGCCTGCACACCACTTGAGTGTGCCTGGTGCCCAAAGAGGCTGAAAGAGACTGGAATTACAGATGACAGTGAGCCACCACATGGGGACTGGACATTAAATCAAAGTCCTCTGGAAGACCAGCTAGTGCTCTCAACTGATGAACCATCTCTCCAACCCTGGATTTAGATTTTTAAATATGCTTTTAAGTTTATTTGAGCAGAGCAAGATGGTACAAGGCCTATCCATCACTGACACAGGAGGATTACAAGTTTGAGGCCGCCTTGGGCTAAATAGCAATAGTCTGTCTCAAAAGAAAAGAGGAAATTGAGTGTGATGATGCATGTCTTTTCTTTAATCCCAGCGCTTGGGAGGCAGAGGCAGAGAGATCTCTGTGCATTTGAGGCCAGCCCAGTTTATATAGTGAGTTTCTGGGCAGCCAGAGCTACATAGAGAAACCCTGCCTCAAAGGAAGAAAAAATAATTCAAATTAACTTGCTATGAAGTAAACTAACGTGTGTAATTAAGAGCTGTAGAGTGATGAGAAACGTGGAACATTCCTCTTCAGTCACTCCCATCTGACCGTACAATGCTGACAAACCTACTGGTAGCCAAAGAAGCATCCAAACAAGCGTGACACAAAGCTGTGCAGCTTGCTTATCCAGGATCACAGGTCTTCAAAATATTTGGCTAAAGGGTATTTATTGATGAAGAGACTGGCAGCTAACCCACCAGGTGGCGATTAAAGGCAGTAAAAGCTCCAACTTGTGTGCTTGCCAAAGACCAGCCTCTAATGTCTGTTTTCCAGAATTCTCTCTTAATGAGGAAGCCAACTGGCTGTTTTCATAGGGCCATCTGGAAACCTGGAAGTGTCACAGAAGTTTGTTAGCCCTTTAGATGTCGACTTTGTCCACTTGTCTGCTGACAGGTGGCGACCTTCACTGGGGTGCATACAGCAAACCATGGCGTTGGGTTTGACTCCTTCCTGCAGTCAGGCAGAAATGCCATTCAGCCTCATACACCTATGGTCTGTTTTAGTGACCACTTGGCCTTTCTTGCCATTTGGTGCCAGCTCTTCCCCTCAAGTCCCCCGCTCTAACCTGCCAGTTCCTAGTCTTTCTTAACCTGGCTGTAACTTTTGTGATCTCATTTGATGACAGCTTTAGGTAGTGTCAACCCTGTGTTTCTTTGTTGAGAACCAGGACAAAATAAAATACTCGATGTAGCATCCTTCGGGTTGCTAACTGCTACCTTTCCTGGCTTGAATTGTTACTCTACTTAATGGATGCGACAGCAGATCATAATGGGAGTCTGGTGTAAAGCCCAGGTTTGGACCTCTTAACTGCTATGTCATTTAGCAGCTATGAAGCCATGTGCTAACAAACCCCCCAAAGAAACTCAGTCTATCTCCTTGCAGTTAAGATATACATACATACATACACACACATACATACATATAAATCTGTGTACGATGCACTTACAAATCTATACGGCACATTGATGTGCTATGCTGCTCAATTAGGGCAATTTACTTGTATAAAAGGATCTTTGAAAATCCTTGCAGTAATAGTGGATGTCAACGTGGATCAGTTCTGACAGTTTTTACACTGAAGGTACATCACAGAAGTGCGTTTCAAATAGCGTCTGATTATCCCCCTAAATAGTTTGGGCTCGTGTTTTTTACTGACAGAAAAATAACCAGATTTAAAGAATCCCTCATTTTTTATTTTATCAGACTAATGGCAAGGCTTGCTTGGTATGTCTGTAACTTTAAATAACAGGGCTGTTCGTTTGTGGGTCTTTGACTACCAAAAGCACCCGGCACTGGGGCTGTTTTACTGAAGGATCATCCAGAGGCAAGTCGGCCCTCTTACACTACCTTCCGTATGTCACCGGCCACAACTTTGGGTTTGGTGGGTACTGCAGCATGCACCTGTGCAGGCGGGACCGAGGCTGTTGAGAGAGTAGAGAGAATCTTACTGCGCCCTGCAGAGAAGCCAATGTCCAAAAGCCCGCAGTTGGCAGCGAGGTGGACTGGACAGCTCACACTAGGTTGCTGGTTTCCCTGTGTCCCGTCATGCGCGTCTCCAGGAGTTGTGAAATTAATTTGTTGAATAAGGTAAGACATGAACCCAGCCTCGGTCTTGGAGCAGTACTGTGCTGTGTCAGTACAAGGGTGCATTCGACCAGGTGGGTGCGTCCCAGGGGCTCCAGCACTTGCCTGTCCATCGGCATCTTCGCTTTGCTTGGGTTCCTCCGAAGTTACGGAGGTGCAGGGGAGAGGAGGAGCCTCGCCTAGAGCGCCTAAGTGATTGGCTATCCGGGGCCCTTGGAGAGGGCGTGTGGTCCAGCCATGGTAGAGAGGGGCGGAGCGGCCACTGTTCCTACTACCGCCGCCACCAACACAGTCGCAGCCACCGCAGCCTCGGCCACTGGGCAAGTCGTGTTGAGCAGCGGTTTTCTAGGTCGGGAACGCCTTTACTGATCTTGCTCTGTACCCCACCGGTGCCTGGCAGCCAAGACCCTGTGCTTGGTGTTTCGCTGGATCTGAGCTTTTAGTGCACGTTAAGTCCCTCGGGTCTCACAGACCCCTACCACTATGCCCCAGGAAGCTGCACTTGGCACCCTGGTGCTATTGCTGCTGCTCCCCTGCGGTACTGGGGCGCTTGGGGTCAACTCGGATGTTGCCTTGGACTCCTGGGCTTTGGAAGGCGAGGAGGGCACGGAGCAACAGCTGCATTACCACGACCCCTGCAAAGCCGGTAGGTACCACTGCTGTCTGCCAGAAGTTTTTCTTTGAAATGCAAATGAGCGGTGGGCAAGGAGGACCACGCTGCTCCTGGGAGATGCCCGAGGTTCCCCGGGGTTCCCGGGAGAGGGAGGACAATGTCCACCGGGAACCTGGTCCAGGTTAGCAGGACACATCGAGTGGCTGCTGCAGGAATGGTCCCAGAGCGAAAGGCTGTGTGGGGAAAGGTGGGTTCTGGTTGCCTGTCAGCCACTCGGCACCCGCTACCTCCGGACACCGCAGGAGTCGAGCCTGGCTAGGCATTGCGCTCCCAGCTCTGCCGGAGTAGCTGGTTTCATTGGTGTTCACAGCAGTTGGAAGTGTCCCGCGAAGTTTCCCAAGGTCTGTAGTTACTCTTGGGAAGAGATTAAAAGACAGACAGAAAAACTTCACGGGAGGCAGAAGGAAGAGTTGCCTAGGGAGACCGCTCACGACTTAAATTGCTCCTCCATCCTTTCCCGCAGTCCCCTCAACACCCAACTGAGATGGAAGTCAGCAGGTGCTCTTAATTCCACCAGGAAGCTGCGCCCTAGAACAGCACCCGGGCACACCGGCCTTGTTAGCCAAACCCGCCCCAGCTCTACAGTTCCAGCTACCAACCCTCTTGGGTCATCGGGGACGTGTGGCGAAGGGTAGAGGGGAGTGACGAAGCACCCTAGAAAAGGTTCCTTAAGTGTCCCTCCGGGGAAGGATCCAGGCTCATTCAAAGTCAGGAGCTGGACGGTGCAGTTCCCAGAGCCGGGTGGTGCTGGATTTAGATTACCTTGAGGCTGCTCTGGGACGGTGGCCAGGAGCCGGGAGTAGTGTTTTCCCCGGCCACTGCCCCACCTTTTTCACTTCCCAGTGAGCAAAGATAAAGGATAGGAGGCAAGAGGAACCCTGAGGATACTCAGGGGACCAGAGTGCTTCCTGTGGGTACAGTGAACCCCCCCCCCCAGGTCTAGGGCAGTCCCCCATTCCCTCTCATCATGGAGCCCTCTGCCAGCCTCGGTTTTCTCGTCTCTAAATCGGAAGATAAATAGGAGGCTTGTGGGAATTTTTTGCCAGTTGAACGAATGGGGTTGTTGTCCTTATTTTTATTGTTACTGTGGTAGCTCTAGTGTGTAGGCTGGAGTAGCTTCACACGCCTGTCGTGTGGGGAAGATGAGGTTCCTACGAGAGCCTCAGAAGTTCAAGAGACCAGAGGATCCTATGCAGGCTGAAGGTCAAACTGGGTGTGGGGGACCCGGTCTTACCACCGAGAAGACCCCTGAAGGATATCTTCCTATTGCCTACAGATAAAGCTTCAGTTGGGAAGTAGTCAGAAAGGGTGGTTTCCAGGTTAAGTGAAGGCTCACCACCATGGCCTGGCTGTGACATTCAGCTCTTTGTGGGCCCATGCCCGTGGCCAGGACGATCTCCTGAGCACTGTTAGAATGGTGTCTTGGTTCTAAAAAGGGAGAACTTAGTCCTGAAAATAAGACGGGGGTGAAAAGGACCAACGGTCTCACCTGCCAGCTCCTGGACCCTACCCGAGTAGAGCTGCCTCTGAGGTGGTGACTAGGGCCAGCAGGGAGATTAGTTTGGGGATTAGGCTGGGTACCTCCTGTACGTAGGATGCTAGCCTAGATGCTGCAGATCCAGAGAGAAAGGTGCAGCTCTGACCCAGAGCTCCTACCTGGTTTGAGCCTCCAAAGATAACCCCAAGGCAAATTTGCCATGGGTTGTCCAGCGGTTTTAGAGAAAATGCTGGGTAACAATGGCGTGAATGCTCTGACTGTCCCTAGGTAGGATGGGGTAGGCAGGCAAGGCTGGAAGTAGAGAAACCTCGCTGTGGTTCACAGACTTTAATGCATCATCGGGGCCCCACCCTTACTCCAGCCCCACCCCTACTCCGGGCCCCACTGAACTAACCTGATGCTAGGAGCAGCCAGAGGAGAGGGATGGCAAGAGAGACCTGCAGCAAGAAAGCAACACAGTCTGCCCATTCTCCTGGGAGTTCTCTCATCTGGAGAGCAACCTATGAAAGGCCAAAAATGGGATGGCCCAGTCCAAAATCTCAGCTTCCCCACTAGGGGGAACTGCACCTCCTGGCAGCATGTTTAGAGCTTCCCTTCAGAAGCAGCCCCTGTCCTGGTGAAACTCCAACCTGGAAGCTCTGGCCAGAAAGCCCACCCACTCCTGCCTGGCCCTGCGACAAGGGGTCTTCATGCACAAACCTTCCCCACCTGTCCCTTCCCTGGTCTGCGTCTCCATTCCTCTGTGCATCTGAACGCAGAGGGGACAGTCCTGGTTCTGTTCCCTACCCATCAGTGGACAAGTTCTGTCCCCCCGGGCCTCAGCTTCTTCCCTGTAGAGTGGACATAATGAATTTGTTAGGCTGTAAACAGACAGATCTGGGGACCTTTTCCATTTTTAAAAATTACAGTTTTCTTCATTTATGCTGTGTTCCGGTGGGGCTGCGCTGGAATGCCACAGCATGCGTGTGGCAATCAGAGGATAACTTTCGGAAGTTGGTTCTCTCCTTCTCCTGTGTGGTCCCGGATCGAACTCGGGAGCTTGGGCTTGGCTTACCCTTTATGCCATCTTGCTACCCAAGAAACTTGACCTCCATAACCTGTCTTAGCCTGAACCCACATGACACCATGCAGGTACTTGTGCTTGAGTCCCGTGCTTCCTCTATGTTTCTGTGACTTTTGTTCCAGCCCAGCCAGCAAAGCTGTGTGAACTAGTAAGTGCCGCGACCATTTTCCATGTCGTATTTACCGTGCCATCGCGCGTCCTGTGTGCTGTTTCCGCCGCTTAACTTTTAGCCGCGTCCGCCTGCTCTGCCAAGTACGAGCTACACGACCTGGGGCAAGTCCTTGCTCTCCCGGTGTCTTTATGTCCTCATTTGTGGATAGGAATAATTTCTGACAGATGAAAGTACACAGAACGATAGATGTGCCAATCACTGGGTACCTTATAAACAGACTTTCGAGAAATGTGTTGAAAGAACATCTTCATCCCTGAAGCTTTTGGTGCCATTTTAAATTGTCAATTCTAAATTTGCTAACAGTGGATGCTGCAGAGAGGGTGGTTGCTAAGTTGGATGATGGGGGAGTGGGAACCCTCCTGGCACGCAGCTGGGGAGCAGCCATGGGCTTCTGGGACACTGTGTCTGTTGGTTCATAGCTCTGTTACTGCCCTTTCCTTAGGCGCTGCCCACATAGGCAGGCACTACATAAGAAACCACAGGCAGTCTCAGCATCTCCACGCTGGCAGGACTCCTCTTGTCTGCCTGGCCTCATTCGTGTTTCCTCAGCTGAGTCAAGCCAGGAGCCTGGCTCCTCGCCCCATCCCTGCCCCTGCTGTCTGTGTGGCTGGGAACCATGTTGTCACCTTCCTGTGTGTCACCCTCCTTATCTGCAAAAACGGAGGTGGAAGCCAAATCTTTTACCTTGCAATGTAACCAGGAGCCAGTCTTAGCTGGCTTCTTTAGGAAGCAGAGCCACAAACAAGGACCTGTGTGTAGACATTTGGAGAGTGAGACAGGAACAGCGGGGAAAGAGCAGGGCACAGGAGACAGGAAAGGAGGCTTTCAGTGAGGGAGTGGGATTCAGACCCTCCAGGACCTCTTATAAACTTCCAGGTGCCTCCTAGAACCGTCCACCCGGAGAATGGAAGACTGAAGTCTATCCAAAGGCTGGAGCCTTTGTCCTTTACTTCAGCTCCCTGCTCTATGTTTGGGGAAGAATCCACCCCCAATTAGATGTAGAACAACCTCACTGTCATGCTATTAGGTTCCTGCTTTGGTAGATTAAGAACAGATAGTGGTGTGTGTGTGTGTGTGTGTGTGTGTGTGTGTGTGTGTGTGTGTGTGCTCGTGCGCTAGAAAGACTTGCAAGATAGACCACAAGGGGCTGGAATCCACCTGATGGCCCACCCTCGTGCCTGTTCATTGGATTGGTGGGTAGAGATTCTTGGGTTGCCTTCCCATGTGGTCGGGTGGTAGGCTCCTTCACGGCACAGCCGCTGAATGCTAGGTGGGTCTGAGAGAACCAGGTGGAGGTTTCAGTGTCTTTGGTGACCACCTCTCATCCTCACACCCACCACGATGACAAGCTTCCACCCCATTCTAGGGACGGGAACATGACTCCCTTTTAATAGTGGTGGCGCGAGCCTTTAGTCCCAACACTTGGGAGGCAGAGGTAGGTGGATCTCTGAGAGTTCGAGGCCAGCCTAGTCTACAAAGCAAGTTCTAGGACAGCCAGGGATGTTCCAGAGAAAAACCCTGTCTCAAAAATGAAACAAAACACAACACCAGGTGGAGTTAAAGAGACCGTTGGAGCCAGTTTTGGAAAAATGACCTGCTACACTTTTGAGGCATTAAGTGGGTTCTCTAGATTAAGGGATGGTTCTGAAGTAGAAAAGTGGGGAGAGAGGCAGTGGATGCATGCGGCTTCCCACAGTTGATTGGAGAGTGTGGACGTGGGTCACCAAAACTGTCCACAGGCGACTTGGGTGAAGCAGAGCTTCTTGGACAGCCTTTGAACTTATTAAATCCAAGGGAACTGGCTGCCAGCCTGTTTACTCTTTAGCTGGTGGCTTGGCAAATGCCAAAGGCACTCAGAACTGTGAACTGTGGATTCAAATATGATATGCAGAGTTGCTGGCCCCTGATGGCTTAAGGCTCAGGAGCCAGAGTGAGTGTTATGGCGTGGCGAACGGTTCATGGCTCAGTTTGGCCCGTAATTTCACATCTCACTTCTGTCTGGAATTTGGGCTTTCACTCTACCTTGTCATTTGCTTCAAGATACCTTACCAGAGAGGTCTTTTTGAAGGTTCATCAAGAGACCTGGGTATCTGCTGTCAGCAGCCCTTCCAGGTCCTGATGTGAGGCCAGCATATTCAACTCCATGAGGTCTGGGGTTCAGTCTCTGTGCCTGGTACCCAGGGCAGCATCCAGCATTCACTGTGGTGTTTGTCAGTATCTGCTGGAGGAGGGAGGTAGAA